GATATTTTGCTAAATGGATTCCATTCAGGCCGTCAAGCGCACATTTTGCCCCAAGAGGGATAAATAGAAGGATATTGATAGTTAGATCAATATATGGATAGGTAGATATGGATAAAGAATAATAGAATGCTAAATAAAGCTAGCTAGATTGCCAGCTTTATACACACACACACACACACATATATATATATATAATGTGTGCTATATGCTATTCAGGTTGTCAAGCGCACATTTCCCCCAGGAATAGATAGAGCGATACATAGAAGGATATTGATAGTTAGATCAATAGATGGATAGATAGATATGGATAGAGAATTATATATATATATATATAGTGTGTGCTATATGCACGAAACCAGCAGAGATAGCTTAGACTAATACAAAAATAAATGTGTAAATGCTTCCACCTTTTTTTAACTATTTAATCACACCTTTCATTGCGCAATGCCGGACACACTTGGGGTTAGGTTGATGAGACTTTTTCTGGTTGTGACGGTGAAGGAGTAAACTAGGACTATATATATTTATATCGATGGAGAAAGAGAGAGAGATAAGGAGAGAGGAAGAGGTTAGGAGAAGAGGGAGTAGGAGAGAGACAACGTAAAGTTTTTGCTGTTTTATAGTTCATAGGTTCTGAAGTGTTGGTGGACTGATTCATCTTGAATGAATCCGCGAGGTGGAAGACTTAGTTTTGCCAAAAACTGATGGGAAATGCGAATAAAATTTGGGATTTGTGGAATGTTTTGATTTCCAATTGTTTTGGGCTCACTTCCGTTCTGAGGCCAATTGTGGCAATTAAGGGTTTTGAAGGTCCTGCCGACCTAAAGACGACGGCGGATTCCGCTTGGCCAGCTGTTGGTGTGCTTTGTAGGACAGTCTTGCCGGCGATGTGCCCGAGGCAGTCTCCATCGATTCCGGCGAACATGTGCCAAGCCTTCGTCCTTCATATGACGGAGACCATGAGAGCAGTTCACCATCTTTACAACCACATTCAGATCTGTTGGGTTCCAAAATCGAAGGTAACGCAACGTGGCATAAAATCTGTACAGGAAAAACAATGATCCCCAAATTATCCTTTGCTGATTATGGCATTGTCTGTGAATAAGTGCAAAATCATTGAGATCATCGAGCTCACTAAATTATACAATACATTTAAATAAATGATTTGTGTTCACCCTATTTCGTCCAAGTTAATCAAGGATTGGTAGATGAATTTTCCCACAATGAAATGAGTAAAGCTGATGTTTTCCGTGGAATTTCACTTAGCTTTGCTTTCTCAAAAGGTTGTCTGCAGTTTCGATCTCGTCTGGGTCTTATCAACATCCCAAGCAGGAGTCGTATCATGACAGTGCAGCGTGTAAGCTCAACACGTTTACCACTACGCCACATTGTCCCCAGTGCAATCGGGTCACAAGGCAAATGTGAATTTCAAGGAATGAGGAATTTTCCATATCACATTCTGCGTTGAGATTGTCGATAAAGCAAACTTATATTTGCTATAGCAGTCCATCCTGGGTGAGAACACCTTTTGGGAAAGCAAGGCTATGTGCAATTAAATGGAAAACTCATATGATTGTATGAAAATTCAACTACAGGCTCTTCATCAACTTAAACGCTATAAGGTGACACAACTCATATATATGATTTACTTGTAGGCTCTAAAACCTACTCACTCACGAAAATAGTAAATTTGAAGTCAGGAATACCGCTAAAGTGTAAGAACTATTTATGCTTAAGAGCTTTGCCTACGGATACAGAGGTTGTTGAGCAGCGTAACTATTCTTGTCAGTATTTGCTTAGCTCGAGAGCATACACGTCCTAGTTTATTCTTTCACTGTCACAGCCAGAAAAAGTCTTATCAACCTAACCCCGAGTGTGTCCGGCATTGCGCAATGAAAGGTGTGATTAAATAGTAAAAAAAGGTGGAAGCCATTACACATTTCTTTTCGTATAACTTTAAGCTATCACTGCTTGTTTCGTGCATATAGCACACACAATCCGATAAGTTCACAAGTTTTTAGATTGACGT